TAGAAATGTTTTCAGCCTTTATTAGACCATTCTCACATTTGTTGATAGCAAACGATTACGCTTTTCCTCATAAACTATACCTGCTTCTGAAAATAGCCTCTCGCTATATACACTACTGCCGGGAGACGATAGATATATCTTAGCAAATTCTGTCAGGCTTGGGTACTGTTTTGCGTTTAAAAAATTACAAGCGCTAAATACTAAATATGACAAATTGTTTCACTTAATTAATACCTAATAAGATTTTACTTACTTGCTTTCTTTCCTTCTCCGCCACGCGAGATCTTGTTGTTACACAGCAAGTTTATTATCTTCACTACAAATCTCATAATATTTCCAAATAGGTGATTTTTTATTAAATGGTGCCATTTTGTAAAGCTCTTGGCGAACAAGCAGTGATATTTTTTAGTAATAAAAACTATTATTAACACAATTTGATGTGACAATGAGCAAATAATGCATGTCATGACACGATCTATTCGCAAATGAAACAAACCCTCTCTCACAATTTCTCTCTTTCTAGGTGGGACAATCTCATCCCACATTCTTAGGGATATGATTACATCACCCACCTGACATATGTGACAGAGCTGTGGACTGTCCATCAACACTTGATAACATCCACACACCTGAAACTTAACAACATATTTTGCCGAACATTCGGCGCTTCGGTCGAGAGCGTAGCTGAATATTCGGTATTCGGCAAAATCACTATTCGTGGCATCACTAATTACATCAGACTAATTTTCCATGATTATATTTAATAAATATTAATTGTAATTATTAAATTTAATAAGAGATGGTGCCTAATGCCTCCCTCTAGTGACAAATTATTTAGTAATTAATTAAATATAATCACAGAAAAATATGCTAATGTAATCCGATGATTGTTTGGCTTTATCATCTATTTTATTGCATTTGGACTGCTAAATATCTCTCTGGACAGTGCTGAATATGGATACTTTAATTATGATCACCTATGTATATTTGGTACAAAAGAAGCTTTTTTAAAATATCTATTAGATATACAAAAAATAAAATGTCAATTTATTTTAAAATATTTATCATGTAACTTTTTATTTACCTTTCACCAAATCGGCAGCATCCTGTTTTCAAAAAGAATGAACAGCTTTCTTTTGTTTGGACATTATAATCTTCTGGAGCAATCGGATTATGCCAAGGAGTATTACTAGTTTCCTTTAAATTCCAAATCCAAGTAAGAGAAAAATGTGATAAAAGAAATAAGATTTTTAATAATTTGAAGTTCTAATTATATATTTATGATTATAAATACTAACAAAATTTAAACTAAATTACAAGTCTGTAATTTCAGATGATTCATAATTTAATATATACAGTAATACCTCCTTATGTCAAATTTGACTTCATGCTAGTTTTCAAACTCTCATAACTGAAACCAAAACTAACTTTATTAACATTTTGCAACAATGTTGCCAGTTGATTTTAACATAAATAAAAATATTTCTTATTTGTTTGATTTTGTAAGAAAATAATAAAGAATAAAATAAAACACACTATAAACAATTACTATATGTTAAAGTAAATGGGATCTTATATACTGTGCTTTGATAGTTGCAGGTGTGGTAGATGCATGTTGTGCCTGAATCAAGAAATACAGGTACAGTACTGCATATATATATATTTTTGGCCATATATCAAAATGATTTGGTTCATAAATTGAAACTGAGCTATAAAATCAGAAGGTCATTATAACAAAAAGTCACATAAAGAAGACTTGAGTGTATTTTAATTTTTTACAATTTTTTTGCTGTTTTCTAACTTCTCATTAATTAATGTGTATACATTTAAGGGGAATGCTTATTAGATGCTTATAGAAGGTCTAAAATAGTTTTTTAGGAAGTTATTCTCCTTGTGTAGCTTTTCCACTTAAGTTATATCTTTTAGAACCAATTACAGACATTGGACAAGATATTGCTGTATTTGTATTTTATTTATGGATAAATAAATAAATAATAAATATATATTGTATGCACATATGTATAAAAGTAAAAAAGTTTTTTTATTGCAGCAAGTGTCAAATAAACATCTTGATTCCTTTATCAGACTATTATAACTAAATAATTACTAAGTAATTTTGAATGAGATAGACAGGCCATCATGTCTTCTTAAGTTTAACAATTATAAATAAATAAATTAATTAATTTAATTTTACTTTTAGAATATTCTGGAACAAAAGACCAGGATTCAAACCTGAAACTCCTGCTTACCATGCAGACATGTTTCCAGATCTCTGTCCAATGTTTGCTTCCATACTAATTATTAACTAATTTAGATATAACCATATTGGTCATTCAGCTATTCATTTGATATTTAAAGTAACTATTTGGTTGACTGCATTTATTACACTGTAAAACCTGTCCAAAATATAATCTGAATAAAATGGGAAAAGTATTCTGTACCATGCAATTCTGGTTTACACAGGTTTTACTATATTTTTTTATTGTTTATGGTTTTTTTATATTCAAGCATTATTTGGAAAAGATTAAATCAAACTAAAGTTTGCAATATCATTTAGCATGATACTGGTATTATTTTAAAGACTATTGTTTAAAAATAATAATAATAACTTTGAATTAGCTATTTTCAGTTTTATTTAGATATTCAATATATATTTTAAAATAATTAATTCCATTTTAAATCTTTTTACACATTTATTAATTATATATTTTTGAAAATGGATTGCAGATTTAACTTTTTAAAATGAAAATTTCTATTATTATATTTAACATATAATAATCATTAAAAACAATTTTGATTATTATAAAAGTTTTAAATCACATTGCTTTATTATTATACTTTTTGTTAGCATTTTATTTAGTATTTTTACTTGTAATGAATTAAGCAATATTTAATATATCTTTAAAATGAACAAAACTTGGCACCATTTTTAAATGTAAAGTCAACATATTTGCTTATTAAGGATGCCAAAATACTTCATTAAACTAGAAATGTTTTCAGCCTTTATTAGACCATTCTCAGCTATCAAAGAACAGAATATGTTTTCTTATTAATATATTAAAATTTAAATCTACATTTATCTAAATTTCAGTTAGAAATATTTAACAACAGTTTAAATTCTAAGATGATATATCATATTTTTTAAAATATATAATCTACAAAATTGTTTTAAAAATTCTTTATGTTAATGCTATCTAGGATCTAACATATGAGTGTTTCTTGTTAGATGTTTAATAACTATTCAATTTAATATAATATTAAATGAAAAGTTAATAAAAAAGATGTAAAATCAAATTATCTTTGTTTACATATTCAATTCTTAGAATTTTTTTCTCTCCCAAATATCATCATCTATCCATATATTTCTTTTCATATTTTTAATTTATGATAGATATTATAAGAAAATCAACATGACAGACTGATAAACATACTGTATATGCAGAATATAAATTATTAAAATTGTTAATTTGCAATTATAAAAAATTTATATTCTTTGTGTGTTCTTACCTGATTAAGAGATTCCAAAAGTTTCAATTTCTGTTCTTTCTTTTCATCTATTTTTATTTCTTTTTCTTTTTGGCTCAACACTAAATCATCTTTAATTTTTTTCTGTTTAAAATATTAATTTTTAATAACATAATTTTCAATAAATCTTTATTATGATAATTTTATACATAATGTATAATTTACAAAAGATAATGTTCAAGTATTTAAAGCATTATATTCAAATTAACATTTCAGCCATTAAATGGTTATCTTTAGGTTCCAAAGATCAAATACTAAGTTTATAAGTGCTTTGTGTTTATAAGATATATATAATTCAAAATAACATAAAATATTAAAAACTAAAGTAATCAAACACAATTAAGAATTACAACCAATAATATAATAAAAGGTGAAGAATTAAGACAAATTCAAATGTTCCTTAATTAAGGAAGAAGAACTAGCTAATTGGAATGTATTAGCATCCTTACTTTTAAGATATCCAACAGTGATGGCTTGTTTATAAATATGCAGACATTACACATTTGCACAATTTTAGTCCTGGATGTATCAGGAACCTTCTTCACAATCCTTGCTTCACCTCATTGTACAATATTTGTGGGAATGGAAAAAGCAGCAAAGATTATATTACATTAATTATGTCAACATCTCTCTTGTGCTCTTTCAAGCTCATATCTAAATGCCGTTAGATAGAGCAGATATACAATGATAAAACTCCAAACTCCAAAATTGGGATGGAACATGAGTATTTTGTAGACATCTGATTTTTGAATCTCAGGGATACAACCTTTGTCTTTGCATACTAGGCAATAAAACAGTGGGTTCCTATGGTATCTTTAGTTAAATCCTTGGTTAACTTGAAACCCCACAGGAAACAGTACAGATCCTCATTGCATGTTACCAAAAATATTTATTTTTGTTTTTCATTGAATCAAAGGTTGATCACGACATAGCATACTAAGTTTAAATTTAGCATGCTGATATGTCCTGATCAATCTTTGAACAGTATTGAGCTCTGTGCAAGTGCCATTCTTCTAATGTAAATTTATTCATTAACGATATAAATGAGTGATGGCTCTTTTTTGTTAAGGATCTGAAGGTGGCCAATTTGTATGCAAACAAGAGCAAACTGGAATCTATAGAGAAAGGCTATTAGGCTTCCTACAGACCTTTACATAGTTACATCCTTACCTAAATCATATATCTAAGCTCATAACTCTCCTGGTCTAGTTTAAACTGTAATTTGTCTCCATCCAGCTTATAAGTTCCTCCTTATTTAAGGAACATTTCAATTCATCTTAATTCTTCACCTTTCATTTTATTATTGTTAGTGTAATTCTTAATCATTTTTATTTTAATTTTATATTATTTTAAATTATTCATATATATGTATGTATTTTGTAAGCACAAGCATATGTATTCTAAAATTTATATTTGTTCTTTGGATCATGAAGATGGGCATTTACACAATGAAAACATTAGTTCAAATATAAAGTTTTAACTGTTTGAAGGTTGTCTTTAGTAATTTATTTAGTAAAACTGTTGTTTTATTAGTTTAATAGTTTATAGTTATTTTATTCATTCTACTAAAATATAATTTTTAAATTAAAAATAATTTTTTAAACAAGAGTTGATCATGTAATTTTTTGTAGAATATTGCTAAAACTTACCTGTGTCTTCAGTTTCTGAACATTTATCCTTTTCAAAATACTTGAACAATAATTCACACTTATCACTGAACCCATGCATTAAATGCTTCTTGAAACTCAGTTTTTTAAAAATTGCATAATGCAATCATTGGTTCTAAGAGCATTCTTATTGGACAGGAAGAAGCACTTGTTTTTTTTTTAGAAACTATGTTCATTAGACTTGACTTTTGACTGAATTCTATTTCCTTCAAATAGAACAAAAATAGAAAATCACTTACAAAGTCAACTCTAGTAAACAAGAAAATCTGTATGATTTCTTTTTGAAATTCTACATCTTTCACTCTGATGACGATACTTATAAAGCATGATCATCAGAGTGAAAAATGTTGTAGAATTCAAACAGCAACATTTCATAGTCTTAAAAAAAAAAATTTTTTAGAAAGCATTTTGTAATATTTACATGTTGATGTAGATATGACATTGATGAAAATGCATATTTATTCAGGATGGAGTATTTTGAAAAGACAAAATCTTCAGAAAAACCTGAAGATCATAATTAATAATTTTCAATAGTGTGAGACTACGAACGATGTTTTTTATTTTCACACTAACTGCGTAGTTAGTGAGGGTGACTTTCATTGTCCGAAGGTCATCGACAAGGGACCACGATGTCACGTGACCCCCATACGTCCGAGCGACCGGACAATAAATGACCAAATAAGGTATGAATTTCTCTACGGCGCGGGAGACTGTCATAAATCAGGGAGAACTGTCAAAAGACGTCAACAATCCTCAGATTTTTCCCACGCTGATCGGGTATATAAAGGGGTCGGATTTTCTACTCGGGGCTGAGCCAGGGCGCTTAAGCCGAAGAAACCCCTCTGCAAACCTCCGAAGAACTTTGTCAAGGAAGAACTCTACATATTGGGAGCGATGGATAGTAACCGTAGATGGATAGATGGAACCGTAACAGGACATCGCTCCACATAGCCTTCAAAGGACACGTCGGATTAGAAGACAACGATCACAGAGTGTTTTATCAACGCCCTATAACTGGAGAACGTTGCCTTCAAGGTAAACCCTTGCCATTATAATTTATCTCTCTCTAACGTGAGCTCTCTCTCGGATTTTAGCGTTAGGTTAGAATAGATTTTAGAATACCTATTTATATCTTGATTCACGTATGTTGTATTTAATATCTTTGTGTAAATTTTCATAGTTGTTTATTAAATGTGTTCGTTAATTTAAACCCGTGTAGTCTTTTGGACACCTGATTACGACTTCCGACTCCTCCCCACTCATATTTTTAGCCCTCCTATTGCCATCCGACAACCGAGAGCGGGTCTTTCCGACCCGTGCAGATTAAGTGGTCATTAGGCTTTAACCCAGTGGCCCCCTGCTACTCACATTAGTATTCAGCAAATTAAATGATCAGCTCATATATAATTGAAATATATTGAACAAAATTGGAAAATATATATTTCATAAAAGATGTTTTTTCATTATTATTTGAAAAAGTTTATATCAAACCAAAGTTTGCAATGTCATTTAGCATGACACTGAAAACATTTGAGATAAGACTGTATTGTTTCAAGATATCTTTTTGTTTTTCCAAAAGAACAAAAAAACATATTTTATAACCCTTAAACATGGTCAATTATATAATAATCTATTTATGAAAAAAATACAGTTTTTTTACATTATGTTATACTAATATTACAATAATATATTAATGTTGTTAATGAAAATTTATTTCATATAATAATTTAATTAGAACTGTTAAAAATGTTTACAATTTCCTCTTCTCTTTTCTTTTGCAACTCTCTTAAATCCTTTTGTTTTTCAAACAATTCTTGTGCTTCTTTTTCACGTTCTAACCATAGCATATGTTGCCTTTCTCTAAAAAAAATTTTAATATTTGACATTCTTTTAATTCATTCATAAATGAAAATAAATTCATTATGTAATATATACTACAACATTGTAAAAATGAAAATTCTATATAAAATCAATGCTACTTTCTTAAAAAAATATAAAATATTTAAAATTGATTTTATAAAATAAGTTTTCTTTTTATCTATAATCAAATAATTAATATTTTTAAGTACCAAAATACAAATTTTCATATATAAGGCTGTATCAATAGCAATTTTACAATGTAAACTTATAGCAACTAGGATCACATTTTTGAGATTATTTCTAATATTTCCCACAAAAAAAATATATGAAGGAAATTATAAAAATCTTCAAGTTATCTTTTAAGCATATCAAATTTACTCTTTGTACTAACATGAAGATTTGTTTTGTTACTATAGACAAACCCTGCTCTCACTGTGTTGTCTGTAGCAACCTTTGAATCATTTCAATTATGTAATAAGCTTTCTGATTTTTACAGCTAATTATTTTAAGCAGCATGATAAGTACTCTTCCTATCATTAATCAAAAATCAGAAATTAAATTGCATGGCCAATTAATAGAAATTTTAGAAAAAATAATAGAAAGCTTTATAGTGTTAATAATGCATTACTATTAAAAGTTATCTATTAAAATTTTAATTCTATTATACACTTATGTAAAGGAGGAATAAACATTATTTTATTAATTACCTTTCTTTTTCTTCTTCTTCCAATTTAATGCTTTCTTCAATTTCATCTTCAGAACTTTCATTTTGTGCTGCAAGATTTAATCATTATTTATATTATTATTAATTTATCTATTAATTAAAATTATTTAATGTTACATAAAACTATTAAAAAGTAATAAATTTTTATATCAAATATACAATAAAATGGTATGAAATAGATGATATATAACAATTATTTAATCCTCTTCCTTCCCTAACATATTTTTCGTAATAAATTGAAAAGTTCCTCCTAGATATGAACCACTCATTTGCCAAACTGATTGCCAAAGGATTTTTCAACAGTATTTATGTAAGAGTTAATAAATTTTGATTAAAATACATATATAATATAATATAATAAAATATTATATTATATTATATAATTATAATAGAATATATATATTCTATTATATTATCAATGTGTCAATATTCTGCTGTTAAAAAAATTTCTAATTTTTTTTACAGTATATTCTCAGTAATTCAAAGTGGAAAAAAAACTATTTTGTGTTAACTATACTTAATTTTTTTAATGCTATTTTATGTTACAATTTTGTTATTTTTTTGTATTTTTATTTTATTTTACAATTTCACCAATATCCTAATATGTTTTTGTTCTGTATACAAATATATCTGTATATCTTAAATAATCCAATAGTTATGTATTAAAACCAAACAAATTATAGCTTGATATAATTTAGCTTTTCAAAAAATAGAACATCACTAAAACTATGCAAATTTTTTTCATTTAATAAATTTATTATTATTATTTAATAAAATATAGAAAATACTTAGATTTTAAGTGATTAATTAATTATATAAAAACAAATCTTTACCTTTTTGTTCTCGTAATTTAGCTAAAGCCTGTCTCTTAAATTTTCTGCGAAATTTTTTTAACAAAGCACGGAACTTCTTATGGCTGAAAAAATATTCTTTCTTAAATATGGTAATATGCTGATCTCTACAATAATTTTTTTATATTAACTATAATATTATATAGAAATAAAATTCTAGATCTATCTAAATATGCAAATAAGCAAACTACATGTGAGATCCAGACTTTTTACCGAATTTTCCGATTAATATTCAGCATTTTTCTAAACCCCCAATTTAATTTTCCTTTAAAACATAAACGACAATCTAACGAAAAAAAGGGAAAATTTCCGATCTCCCCTTTTGTTTAAAGTAAACATCCGTCCATTTCGAAACTAATCCCACATTCCAACTCCAAAGTTGATAGTTAGCATGGGACCCGAAACATTAAAGCCCGTTACTGCGGGAAAAAGAATCCTTCCATCCATCCTGACAGTGAAAAGGTTTAACAACCTGTTGCCGGATTGGGAGACCTACACCCTCCCCGGCGGTTCACATACACATAATTTAAAATATGCCTTCATAATTAATGTTTTGAACAGAAAAAAATAACAAAATGCTCATATACTATATCTTTTTTTTTTTTTTTTGCATATAATAATATCCTAATATATATTGAATATAAATAAATGCCATTTTCTTCTGTAAAAGAAGAAAAATTTTAACAGTATTTAACCATCAATTATTCTTATAAAAAGCAAGACTGCTGCATATTCATGATTGTCACAGGGATGAATGCCTATGATTACGGAGTAGAAACCAAAGTATTCTATCACAACAAACAGAACTGATCAGAAAATAGAGATGTATAATTACTATAATTCATATAAAAATGACAATGTTTATTTATTTGTATAATTAAAAATGAATAAGTAAATAAATAATTTGCAGATTAATATTTTTTTCCTTTCATAATTCTACCATATTGATAAATTTAATATATATAATTTAAACTAAA